AGCGTTCGAGGGCGCAGTCGATCTAGACTACACCGCTCGTGGAGTCTACACTCTGTGTCATTGATACCCACAAAACACGCTGGCAGGTATAACTTCAGTACACTACCACTTCTAAACCAAAGGAAGCGCCGGGACCGCGACCGGCAACGCGCAAGGTTTTCCGCGTGCATCTTTGACGCCATTCGAGCAGCAGCAAAAAGGAGGCACACAGAACACACAGGGCACGTTGACGTTAGCATTATGGATGGCTGTGTCAAGACTGCGCAACGAACCCCAAAGTGTCAATCGAAGTCGAACTCGAAGATCCCCTTTTCTAAATCCCCAATGCCACCCCCCCACACCACGTTCTTTTTCTCACGTACACGTGCGTGTGCAATACAAAACACACACCTCGGTATACAAAAACCAGGTTATGGATATGGTGCACCATTGATTGACAAGTGGGAAATGGATCCCCGTACCGGAAACGATCGGCAGTGACATGCGTCCCGTTCGAGCGCGGTCGCATTCTGGCAACTCCGGCAACTGGACATGATACCGCAGCACACAACGCCGACCTCGACGACGCCGATGGCCACGGTGGCGATGGAAGGCCTCACGCCGCTCTCGGAGCACCACGTGACCCCGATTCTAGACGCGCCGCCGCTGCCGCGTTCGCTGCGCTTTGGGACGCTGCGCTTCGTCGACCACCGCCGATGGCACTATGGCATCATGTGTGTGCTCGCGCTCGACTTTTTCGGTAACTGCATTGCTGTTTCCTTTACGTCCAAAGACTCGTTCATCGAGTATGCGGCGGCCACGCGGCTTGCGTCGGGTGCCTGCATGGTGGTCTACGCCGTCGACATGCTCTTGCGGATCGTTGCGCTGCGCGGTGCGATGACGCGGTCGGGCTTTCTCGTTGCGGATACGCTGGCGTTTCTCTTGCTATGCGTGGGCTTGGCGCTTCGGTACGTCGTTGTGTCGCATGCGCGTACTGGATGCAATGTAGGTACGTCTTTGCCGACGATCTCGCTACGCTCAAGATCGTCGCGAACGGCTGGACCACCAAGTTTGAGACCAACACCAAGTTTGTGTCCAACCAGATCGAGCTGTACTTCGACACGGCGTATGCGGTCGTCGTGGCCGCGCGTATTGTGCTCAAGCCGCGCGCCCGCATGTTCTCCAAGAAGCTCCACACGATTAGCAAGTACAGCTGCAGCATGGCCATTTCGATCGCGTCTGTCAAGGCCGCGCTGCGCCGTGTGCCCACCATCACTGCGGTATTGGCGCCTTATTGATTTTTGCTGGTTGAGATCCTTTGTTGGCTGTAGGTGGTGATCGAGCAGCTCGACACGGAGCTGCGCATTGTATGTGGCCGGGACGACGGCGACATGACGCGCGCCGAGCTATTGGCGTTTCTCGAACGGGCGCTGCCGTGCCGGCCTCGGCACATGACCGCCTCGACGTTCTTGAGCCACCTCCGCGACATTGATGCCCGCGCCAATGGCTCGGCGTATTGTGCCTACGACGTGGTCCGGTCGACGCTGCAGCACTGGTCGACACAGTCGGTCGACTTGGCGCTGACAACGTTCGTCGTGCTCGTGTCGGCGTCGATTTTGCCGCTGCTCGCGTATTTCTTAAAGCTGTGCACCGACCAAGGGTTTCCCGCGAGCGTCTGGGTCTACGCGCTGCACAACTTTGACGACTTTGGGCTGGACCAAGGGCTGAGCGTCCACGCAAGCTTCAAGTGGAAGAATCAAACGTCCAACGACAATGGCACGCTCGTGGACCTGCCGTTTCTGCCGTGGCACAGCCTGCTCGAAGGTGTCATTGGCATCCTTGGGATTAGCATTCCGTTCGTTGTCGCCGACTACGCAATGGGTACAATCTCTCTCTTTCTGCTTTGATATATATGTACATGCTTTGATATATATGTACATGGGGTAGGGTATTTTCAATCGAAAATGATTGCAAATGCGACCAAGCGCCTCCAGGACACGCTCTTTCACGTGCTGTTGCGGCAGCCGACGACGTTTTTTGCCGACCGATCCGACGGCGACCTCAACAACCTCTTCCAGTCGGACATTGCGCGCGTCAATGCCATGTGGCAAGCGGTGTTTTGGGTACGTATTTCTTCCTTTTTCTCTTGGGTTTCCGAGTTTTTTCCATGTTTGACATTTAATTTTTTGACATTTTGTAGAATCTCATGAACCCGATCGTGTCGATTGTTGTTGGCTTTGTCTACCTCATGTACTCGGAGCCGACGGTTGGCGCCATGTCGTTTGCCTTCTCGGCCATCATCGTCACATCCGGGCCTCAAGGCCTCGCGGGTACATCCCCGACCCTACCCTACCCCTAACCCCACCTTCTAGCGCGCAAATCGCAGCACTTTGGGTCGCTCAGTGCGTACACAGCTGCCGAGTTCCAGAACGCTGTCGCGTGTCATAAAGTGGTGCGGGCGTACCATATCCAGGACCCGCTGTTGACCAAATTTGGCGCCACCATTGGCGTCCTCCGGCGTACGCAATTCTCAAAGGATTTTTGGAGCGGCGTGGTCCAGATCTACATCGAGTCGGGCATGTTTATCTTTGTCCAAATTATGACTGCGTGCCTTGTCATCAAGGTATTCCACGGTGACATAACATCGGGCGACTTTTTCTCGTGTGTCACGATGCTCAACCGCATCTCGACGCCCGTGACGATCCTCGGCGGCTTTATGCGCGTCGCGATCGGCAACGCGTCGAGTCTCCAGCGCCTCGACGAGATCGTGCGCGATGTACGTCGTCTCATTTGATGCTTTTTTATCCATTTTTCATTCTAAACTCTTGCATAGGCGGCCGTAACGGCGGCGGCTTCCGAAGCCGACGATGCTGCAAAGCCAGCGCTGCCCCGCATGACGCACAACATGACGCTGACCGACGTGTGCTTTCGGTACGATGCCAACGCCCCCGAGAACGTGCTCCAGCATGTGAACGCGACCTTCCACAAGGTAGTCGACGCACTCTTGTTCAAACTACTACGATCTTATTCGAAACGATTTTTTTGGGACTAGGGCGAGTATACGTGCATTGTGGGTCCAAGTGGCTGCGGCAAGAGCACGCTCCTCGGCTGCCTCGTGCAGTTTTACGTCCCGACCGAAGGCACCATCTGTGTGGATCAACACGTGGTCGCATCCTACTCGCAAGCGAGCTTCAGCGACCAGACGGCGGTCGTGTTCCAGGACGGCGGGATCCTCAACGGCTCGATCCTCGACAACATTGCGTACATTCTTGGAGTCTAAATTTCGATGGCTCTCATCGATACGACTAGCTATGGTCGGGACGGCGCGACCCGTGACATGTGTTTGGAAGCTGCCAAGTTGGCCGAGTGCCACGTCTTTGTGGTCGGTCTCAAGGACGGCTACGACACGATCATAGGGCAGCACGCGGTCGTCAACCTCAGTGGCGGCCAGATCCAGCGCATTTGTCTGGCCCGCGCGCTCGTGCGGCAGCCGAGGTATATATTCTTCGATTTTTTGGTTGATACACTGATACTCTGCTCAATCTAGTCTGCTCTTGCTCGACGAAGCCACGAGTGCGTTGGACCCGGAGACCGAAGCCAGCATTGTCCAGACGCTCGAGAAGCTCGCCAAGCAGCTGCACATGACGGTATATTTTTGCTCAAATGTTGTATTTCTGATATTTTAGTGTTTTGAGTAGATCATTTCGGTCACTCATCGCCTGTCGACAGCGCGCCACGCCGACAAGATTCTCGTCATGCAAAATGGCGCGGTTGTCCAAGAGGGCACGTACCACGAACTGCTCATGGCACCCAACTCGGTGTTTGCGGAGCTCGTGCGCAAGATGGAGGCGACCGACGAGCGCGCGCCGAGCGTCCATTTCCGAACGCTCGACGGTCCTCGCACGACAGCCACCTTTGATACACACCGCGCACTCGAGCTATTTGGCTCAGACTTAGACGCGCGCGCGGTACTAAACCTTGCTCTTGTCTGCATTGGGTATATATCTTATGATTTTGGACTAGGTGTCGCGGAAGCGGTCGGAGAATGGGTCGGCACTCGATGGTCGACGACACACGACCCGGTCGTCCAAGGGTGACAACGGCAGCTTTCTTCTCATCTAGCGGCAACTATAACATGAACTACGTTTTATCAATCAATCAATCAATCTATCAATCAATCAATCTATCAATCAATCAATCTCCATTTCTCGTTCATCGTGGTGCCTGGGCTCGCCTGACAAGACAGCACATCGGCTGGGTGCGCTTTGAGAAGTGAAGGAGCTTGGTGTGGACCACATGTACGACGTCGCTCAACTGTCTACTGACGTCGCATCGCCTCTCATTGGATGACGC